AAAACCAGAATTGATCCTTATGGACACATGGATAGATGATAAAAATAAGACATTTCTAGAAAGAATAATACCTATTAGCCCAGGGGTAGGATAAAGTGAGTGGGAAGAAGAAGTGACTACTGATAAAAAGGTTTATTTTTGGTATGATGAAACTATTTCAAAATTATACTGTGGTGTAGGTTGCACAACTCCATAAATACAATGAACATGAGTAAAATCTGTATCTTAAATGGGTGAACATTACAGCATATAAATTATTTCATTAAAGCTTGTTAAAATAACTCATCCCATTAACATGAAGATAGAATCTCTACATCACTCCTTTTAAACTACATATATGAAGCTATAACTCCTCATTTAATAAGCCACAAATACATATTTCTGATCATTTATATATTTCAGCTGTTAATTTCTTAATAATTTTAAGATGTCAGCTGGAGCTGTGGCACAACAGTAGAGTGCCTGCTTTGCAAGCGCTGAGTTCAAACCCCAGTCCCACAAAAAACAAAAGTTAAAAATTTAAGGTTGCTTAGTTTCTTAGAATTATTTTAGTGTAATATAAGTTTTGTTGTAAAACAAATGTTGAAATTATATACATTTGACAAAGTCTAAGTAAAGGAAGATGTGATATTATTGTTCAGTCACAGTTAATTCATGATGATATTATAAGAGGACATTAATACATTTCAGTATTGTTTTGAATTTAGAAATTCACTTCAAAATATAGATCATAAGCCCTTTCAGAAAATATTTTATAACCTTGCCAGAGTAGGACTGCGTAGTCCATAACACACTTTCCAGGGAATAAGTACTTAGGTTTTAAATGTCATAAGTAATATGATACAATTAATACCATTTGATAATACATATTTTAATAATATTTGATGTATTTAGGTACCATTAGTATTTTTATTAAAATTTCATGTCAAATCTCTTTTCATTCTTATACTTTTAATTTACTTGTATCTTTAAGGTGTGCCTTTTAAATCCAAAATGAGAAACTTGTTTTAGTAGGAGAGGAGTATATTTTTCAAAAATGCCACTGTCATCAAAGGAAAAGTCACAGCAGAAATGCTCAAGTTTAAAGGAAACAAACAAATCCAGTCTGGATTCTCTACTGGAAGAGCAAAAAACCTGCTACACAGAACATTACTGGGCTATAGGACAACACCAAAATATATACAACAGTTTAGATAAATTGCTGTTCATTTTTCAAAAAAAGTTTATGTGGGTACATATACATTGGAAAAAAACTGATATAGAGGTAAAAAGCTAACTATAGCTAGACAAAGAGGTATATGGACACTCTTTGTACTACTCTTACCCTTACCACTTTCCTAAGTGTTTAAAATGACATAAAAATTAAAAAGTAATAAAGCAAAACACACTCTTGAGACTGCATGGTTAGGTCTGTATTTTATTTTTTTTGTCTTTAATCCAGTCTGATCTCTGCTTTTTATCTGGGAGTTTTAATTGTTCATATTTAGTGCAATTATTTACATAGTTGGTATAAGTCTAACACCCTGCTATTTGCAGCTATACATCCTACCTTTGCTTAATTCTTTATATTTTCTTTCTTTCTTGTTCTTTTTTCTTCCTTTCCTGTTTTCCTTTGAGTTAATAAAATACTTATTCAGTGTTCAATTTTATCCCCTCTACTGGCTTTTTAGCTATAAATACTTTTTACTATCTTAATGTTCTAGGGATTAAATTATGCACTCTTTATTTATCATAGTCCACTATAAACATTACACCTTACAAAAATAAGTTTAATTTACCCTACTTGTACCCTTTGTGCAATTATTGTCATACACTCTCCCTCTAAATATATTATAAAACCAACATATATTATTGTTCTGCTTTAAACATAAATAAAGAAAATCCATTAAAGCAAAACAAATAAATTAAAAACAAGAACAGATACTTTACTTTTGCCCACATATTTACATTTCTGGCTCTCTTTATTTTTTCCTGTAGATCTGAGATACCATCTGGTATCATTTCCTTCAGCTTGAAAAACTCTACAACATTTCTTGAAGTGCAGTTCTTGTGGTGACAAAATCAGTTTTAGTTGATTTTAAAATGTCTCTACTTTAACCTTCATTTCAAAGGGTATTTTCAGTTGATAAAAAATCCTAGATTGATAATTTTGGGGGTTTTTCAGCACTTTCAAGATGACATTTATCGATTGCTGGATTACATTGTTTCTGATGAGAAATCAGGGATGATTTTTATCTCTGTTTCCCTATAGACAGCATGTTCTTTTCTTCCTCTATTTTTAAGATTATTCCCCCTTTGGCTTTCACCAAATGATAGCGATGTGTCTAGGAGATGATATTTTCTTTGTGTTAATCCTGCTTGTGATTTGTTAAGCTTCTTGGATCTGTGGGTTTATACTTTTCAACAACTCTGAAAATTTTTTGGCCATCATTTCTTCTGGTTATTTTTCTGCCCTAATCTTTCTGTCCATTCTGCCTCAAACACCTACAATCACATAGTTAGGATTCATTATATTATCCAAGAAGATACCATGGCTTTTTTCTCTTTTCTTTTTGGTCTTTTCTCTCTGTGTGCTTTAGTTTAGGTGGTTTATATTGGTCAGTCTTCAAGTTGACTGACAGTTTCTTCTAGAGTATTCAATTTGCTACTAAATCTGGTAATGTTTTTATTTCAGAGACAAATTTTTGTCAAGTTTAAAAATCCTAATTATGAATCACATTTTCTACTTTTCATAAGTGTAGTAACTGTATGCTAGACATTATGGATCCTGATTGAGAATCTGGGTTATGTTGTCCTACTTCAGAGACAGTTTTATTCTGTCAGACAATGTATTCACAGTGAATCAGGCTGATTCCAGAGGGACTTGGTTTGGAATTTTGTTGTGTGCAAGCTACAGTAAGCTTTCCTGTAATGACCAGAACAGCCATATTCCTAAGGCATGAACTTTCTGAAGTCATAAGGGAAACCATAGCTAGCGACTCAGCATGCTCCTCCCACACTGGCTAGTCTGAACACTTCCCAGTACTATGAAAGTCCTTTCGGAATCTCCATCAGCTCACAGCCCCACAGTAGATGTGTTTTGGTAAGCCTTATGGTGTGCAGTTTCACATCCGACCAAGGACTCAACAGCACTCTGTTTAGAAGTTTCTGGAGCTCCTTCTTCATTCAATTTCCTCCTTTCCAGTATCCTAACCCATAAATTCCAGCTGCCTCTACATGTCTATAAACTCTGATCTGCTTCCTCTGCTAAGAGTCTCCTGCCGCGTTAGACTTCACTTCCCTATGCCAGTCTGGCAAGTACCCACAGAAGGAAGCAAGGAAGAAGGTGGAGCTCACCTCTTGTGTTTCCTACACTCTGCTAACTGTGCTACCTGAGTCCATCCAGTTCTATAGTTAGAAACAGCAAAAAGTAACTTCATCATGACCAGAACCAGAAGTCCCTAATTCTAATATTTTTTAATCATTGTCAAAAATAAAATAAGTTCTATTTCACTGCTTCTTATATCTATATAGAATGGTTTTTTTTCCTATATGGGGAAGGCTAATTTTTTAACGTTTTCATTAGTATATAATAGTTGTACAGGGGATTTTGTTGTGCCATTTCCATATATGTGCACAATGTAGCCTCGTTTGGTACATCCCCTTGCTTAGATGTACCTTGTTTGGTATATCTTCCCTCTTCCCCTTCGTCTAATTATTTTTGAAATAGCAATAAAATATGCTACTTTATCCTTAAAATAAACAGTTAACCTGAAAGGCATATATTATTTCCACATGACAGATTAGCAAACCAAGATATAAAATATTAAATAACCTATCACCAACCCATAAAGATATTTAATTCAATGCACAAATATTCATGAAGCACGTACTATGGACACATGGTAATTGACATATTGGTTAAAAGAACTCCTACAACGTAGCCTCAACCCACATTATTTCTACTGAACCATCAATAAAGCAAATGTACTATACTAAAAAAAGAATTTCTAATGAATGAATAATCAAAAATCAATCATTCAATATATCAGGAACATGCCTATATTCTCAAAAATCACTACAGTTTATATTCATGATTTTTTACTGCAAAGAGTCCTATTTGCCATGCAAGTAATTTCATTCCTATATAGTTACATTTTTCAATTCCCCACATATATTTAATTTTCCTCATATTAACAGATACTACCTAACCAAGTCACTTCTATTTAGCTATGTCAAACTTATTTCAGCTAACTCTTAATTGTATTTCTAATTTTCATCTGGCCAAATCAAATATGTTTTGCTGACACATGGGGAGAAAATATAATATAATTTCTAAATGCCATCTCAGCAGTATCATACCTAACAGTAATATAATTCCCCCAATCTTCAACAAACCAATTGAAGTGATACATTTATATCTTACAGGTTTATTCTCATCTATCAGAATATGTTCTTGACTTATTTAACCCAATATATGCAAAAGTTGTTTGTAAGGAAATAGTCAATAAAATTAAGCTAATTTATGTTTATAGAATAGTGTTTAAGAATATATTAATATCCTTTTTTTTTTTTTTTTTAGTTTTTTGGGGGTGGGGGTTGTTGAGACAGTCTCACTCTCCAGTCCATGCTGGCCTCAAGCTTTCTTTGTAGCTTAGGATGGCCTGAAATAAGATCTTCTTGCCTAGACCTCCCAACTTATTTATTATCTTAATATGTAACTAATTCTAGTGAAGTAAAGTACATTTTAACAGAAAGCCAGATAGTGTACATCCTTCATTGCTATATATTGAGAATGTTCTTATTTTAAAGCCTGACCAAAAAAAAAAAAAAAAAAAGTTTGCCAAAAGGCCTTGTAAAGACAGTAAAAGTTAATGACCATATTGCCTTTAAATAAATGGAAGCATTACTTTCTTACCATGTTTATGACTCTTAAGGTAACACTTTAAGTGGTTGGTATTTCTGTTGCTCTAAACTGGGTGTCTTCAGTCAAGACAACAGCCTGTGTAAAAGGCTCTTACCTGCAGCACATCTTGGATCTTCACCCACACATCTGCCATATCATACAATTTGATCTCTTCCTGCTGAGTCACTGGAGTCCCAACAGAGTCCTGCAGGTACCCCAGGACCACAGAATGTGCAGTGGCCACAGCATTGAACTTGTCAAACAGCAGCTCCAACAACTCTAGAAGTAACCTGTGGCAAAACAAATCAACAAATAAATAACATTTACACATATGCATCTATTTGTATAGATGGTTTACACTGACATGAAAGAAAAACATCAAACTCAGGTGAAGTAGCACACTGCAACATAAACAGTACAAATGTCATATTTCAACAGATTTGACTTCGAATAGTTATATGATCTAAGTTAGTTTCTAAAATTTATCTAAGCCTCAGATACTCTGCTATAAAATGGACATGATTTAACACTTTAAAAACCATTTGTAGGGCTAAGGTAGGGTTCAAGGGATAGAGCACTTTGCCTGGCAAGCACAAAGCCTTGAGTTCAAACCCTAGTACCACAAAAAATAAGTAAATAAATAAACAAAATTTAAAAACCGTAAAATCCCTAAAGCAGCAGTAGCAACTCAATGAACACGTGTTTCCTTTTTAACATATTTCAGTGATTATGGCATGACTACTCTGTACTCACATAGGCAGCTTCTCTAAGGAATTCAGGCAATATTTTTCAGACAACATTTCAGATGTTACAAAGAATATGCTCTTCCCTAGCCATAAACAGTGCACTTTGGTAAGGACACTAATCTTTTTAGTCATGGAAAGCTGTGCTTGCTGCCATCCAAATGTATGGCCTAAGGTGCCTGAAAAGAAAATAGATACCTGCCAAGCAATCTGACTCTCACCACAGGGAGCAGCTTAGGCATCCACATAATCTTATTTATCACAGTGAGATATGCTGGGCACATATGATTTCATCAACTTCATATACTCAAGGGCACAAAATGAGGTTTCAAGGCAGCTGGGCCTAGAACAAAAGTTGATTTCCATGTCAGTGTACTTAGCCATCTACCTCTCATTACCATTCTAGAATACAGATGTAGATTTAGGGACAAAACAGAGCTTTTAATCTTGGATACAAAGTAACTGCTCAACCACTGAACTTTATAGCTTTAATTATCACCCAGGCCTAGAGTCAGTTTCTTCCTCCAAACTTGTATAGTATTTTATCCTGCTTTTAAGGAAATTATCACATGTGGCTTACATATGTGGTTCAATAAATGAGTCACATTTATTTATATGCAGATATTTTGCCTCCCTTCTCTCACTAATCTTTCAGGGCAGGCCCTGCATTATACATATGTATATTCAGGAACATTTTTGAACAGTAGTTAGCAAATATTTGCTGAATGAATTTAATGTGTATTTCCATGAATAAGTATAGAAAATCTTGGAATGTGAGCAGTATTGTGTAGTTCCCAGTGCATAGCTACTGAGTAAATTAATAAATCAACCCAGAAGTAGAAAGGAAAAGCAAAAAAGATTTTATTGCCATAAATAAGAGATTACAATTATAATCTCTTCACCTACACAATATTATCTATTCCTATGGCTTCTTTATTCCCAAGTTATTATAATTAATGTGCCAATGTGACAGACTGTAACCACCTTACGGTAAAACCCTAAAAACTATTTGACGTTGTAATCTGGATGAGACAGAATCAACAGAATCTATGTAGTACTCCCAGTCTAGAATACACACCCATAATCTAGAAGTTACACATTTGTAAAAAGGAGCCTTTTGTTGTTGTTGTTTTTTGCAGTGCTGGGTTTGAACTCATGGCCTACACCTTGAGCCATTCCACCAGCACTTTTTAGTGATGGATTTTTTTTTTTTTTTTCAAGATAGGGTCTCACGAACTATTTGCTCAGGCTGGCTTCGAACCACACTCCTCCTGATCTCTGCCTCATGAGCAGCTAGGATTACAGGCATAAGTCACTGGCGCCTGGCTCCCATTTTACCTTTTGAGTGATGTTTTCATTAAACTTTTAAATGTCAGTTCATATTTACACCCACATATACCTAAAAAAAATTTCTTTCTCATCTGTGTTATTAGAGAACTACTCAAATATAAGCACAGGGAGGTACAAAATACAAGATTTGTCTGAGTCTAACAGCTGAAACAGTTAATTCAGTGCTGTGAAATAATCAGTATAAAAGTGGTATCTTATGTACAGTAAATACCAGGCTAAGTAAAGGTTCTACTTAAGATCTATACTACATAATAAGGCAGTGGTTCTGGGATATAAATCTGCAGGTCATATGCATTTTTTCAGTGGTAGATAGCAAAATAAGAAAAATAAAAACAAAGACAAATTTATTTTCTTTTATGTTTTTTGTACTATCTTGGGAGGGAAATTTCAGTTATTTTCTGTCATGATGGCAGTTAGGTTGCCAAACATCCTTACTTGATAAAATTAAATTTTAATGGCCATCTGTTATGCTCAACATTTTTTGAAAGCACATTGATCCATGATATTCAGAAGCCTGGAAGACACTGGGTCTGACGTCCCTGTGGCTTGAAGGTCCAGGCACAGGGCTGTGAGCTAGCGATAGAGCAGAAACACTACAAGTCAAGTGGCTGCTCTAAATGAAGGGCATCTGCTATTAGGATCTCTAGGACCACTGAGCTCCATAGCAGCATGTCTTATCTGTCAGTGAGAGATGAGGGTATCTCCGCAAGCAGGAGCAGTGCTCCATTTAGAAAAGACACCCAGCAGGGAAATGAGGTGTAAGATGAGATTCACAGTATCTATTAACATCATGGAAACAGCAATCTTTGATAAAATGCTGACACAGCGCCAGCTTCAGCTATCTCTGGAGGCTCAAAGCCAAGACAGGCCTGTTCTCATATCATGACCATCATAGCCCCAGGAAAGAGATGGGGAAGGTGTAACAGCATCTAGGAAGAGACCAGCCAGACTTGGAGAGACTCATCACAGGCAGCTCTATCTACTTTGAGCCATCCACCCACTCCAAAGGAAGGGAAGCTCGCTTCTGCCTTTCCATAACACAGTCATGCAATGTTCATAAAACTTGCAGCTACATCAAATTTTAAGAATTTTTGTGTCCCAAATGATGCCATCAAGAGAGTGAAAAGGTAATTCACAAAAAAGGGAGATGAAATTTGCAAATCACAAATGTGATAATGAACTTACACCTGAATATGTAAGAACACTTGTAATAAAAGAGAACCAAATTTAAAAATGGACAAATGCCTGAATATACATTGCTGCAGAAAACATACAAATGGCCAACAAGCAACAAGACGATTGATGTTATTAGCCATCAGTGAAATATAAATCAAAATCAAATGAGATAGTGCTGTGATCCACCAGAATTGTTGTAATCAAAAAGACAAAAAGTGTTGGTAAGGATGTAGAGAAATTGGAACTTTCATACAATGCTAGTAGGAATATAAAATGGGACAGCCACTAAAGAAAAAAGTGTGCCAATTCCTCAAAGTATTTGAACTACCACATTAACCTAGTGATACCATTCTTAGGTATACATTCAAGAGAAATGAAAACATGTGCACAAAAAACTTGTACATAAATGTTCATAGCAGCATTAGCCACTAGAGGCAAATGGTGGAAACCATCCAAAAGTCTGTCAACTGATGACTGAATAAATCAAATATAGTGTATTCATATAACAGAATATTATTTGTTCACAAAAAGGAATAAAACACTGATAGACATTACAATAGGAAAAAAAACTTTGAAAATATTATGCTCAGTAAAAAGAAAAGGTTTAAGAAGATGGCCTAACATATGATTCTAATCATATAATATAGCAGGGTAGGAAAATATACAGAAACAGATGATACATTAGTGGTTACTTGAAATGGAGGGAAATTGACCGATAAAGTGTAAGTGATTTATTTGGCATGGGGGACAAAAATGTTCTGGAGCTAGATACTGGTAGTGATTAAAAAATCCTATGAATATACTTAAAGAAAATACCAAATTATGTATTTTCAATAGGTAATTATATGGCATGTGAATTATACCTCAATATAGCTGTTTTCAAAAAACAGTAGTATGGCTCTGAGTGAGGTCAGTGAGGCACTAACACATCTCCTATGTTGAAGAGGAAATACATAAAACTGAAGGAAGAAACCCAGGGTCTCAAAAGGTAAAGCATCCTAAAAGCTTACTCCTTTTAATTCTTACTATTGGAAAGACATTAGCCTTTCTCCTTTAGTTCATTTGATTTTTGTTTGTTTCTCCTTCTTAAATATGTAGTACATAACAAGTAAAATACTTCCATTCTTTCCCAGCACTGATGCCTTCTAAACTTGTAAATATATTCCTAAACTTGTAAAAACACTTTTGCAAGTGTCTCCTTCTGTAAAGCCAGCGTTAGTACCTCTTCTAGGAGCTTTACACAGCTGCCAGAAAGATCAAATCAAAAAGTGAACAGAATGAGCTGAGGTAAATATAATATTAAAGAAATCAAAGGACTCCAGATTCCTTTGTCTGGTTTTCTGTCTTAAGCAATACTGAAGAGGAAGGTTACCTTTCCTGAGTGGGAGAGAGGGAGGCAACTAGACAGAAAAAAAAAGTATATATATAGAGAAAGAGCTATATACATATATATATATATACTTTTCATATATATATGAAAGTAAAGATAGACATATTAAAGGAGAGATGCTAGGTTTAGATCTGGGCATATTAAGTTTAAGGTGTTATGTCTTTAGGTACTTAAATATGTAAGTCAGGAGTTCAGAAGATAAACTGATACTGGAAATTTTAGAAGTATAAATATTTGAGAAGATACAGTGACTGAGAGATACTATGCAGAGTCACAAAAGCAAATCAGAACCAGAGCCAACACTACCAGAAACAAGCAGCATGAAAGGACAGTTACAAAGCAGCTACAGAGGAAGAAGGAAGCCAGAAAAAATTCTAGAAGACAAAAAGGAAGAAAATTATCAGCAGTGTCGGGGTAAGGGAAAAAGAAATTTACAACTTATAGGTCTCCAAGGACCTGGACAAGAAGGATTTCAATGAAGCATTAGAAGGTGAATTCAGTAGTGAGATATCTAATCAGTGAATGACTAATAAGGAAAAGAAATGAAAGTCAAATACAGGCTTTTCAAAGGCACATGGTTCCTAACCAGCATGTATACTCCTTAAAACAGAAAAGGAAGTAAGAATATGTT